GCGTGCATTATCTAATGGTGCCAGGTGACCCCCAGAACCCAGTGATGCTTCTGCAGCTTCTAGATAATTGTGTGTGCTTCATTTTAGGATAATAATGTTATTGATAATTATAGTTCCAGTTAACTTTGTCAGGGTCTGTGACCTATCGCTATTAGGTCACAGTTACATAACCCTTACTGTGGAAAGTCTCTTTTTGTCTTCGCAGAACAGCGAACATAAAAACGACTGTTTGCGCTGCAATGACTACAAATGGAAGCCTGAAGCTAAACATAATGCTGCAACGCCGTGAGGTTCATTCACATTTCCCTGAATGATTATTGGTGTTATAGAAGAGCACGTCGCGCATCATCCACAGGGACATCAGGTGCTCTGGCAGCCCATGAGACTCCCTGCATGCTTTAATGTGTGCAAACACACAGAACTAACGTTTCGACTGGTTGTGTCTTCTTCAGAGTCCAAACGTTAGTTCTGTTTGTTTGCACATATTCAATCAATCAATCAATCAAATTTTATTTGTATAGCACCTTCCACAACGTTATCGGAAGCCCAAGGTGCTGAACAGCATCATCATAAGAAAAACATTCCCAGTACATGGGCATAAAAGCAAGATAAAAACATAAAATCATAAAATATCAAGCAAACACTATTACAAATAAAGAGAGATAACGGAAATAAGACTAATCGATCAAAAACAAATGGTGGACAAAATAAAATCAAGCATCCTGATCAAAAAGAAGAAGAATTAAAACCATAATGTCAGGGCAATTAAATGAACCCTAGCACTGAAAAGCAGTCAAATAGAAATGAGTCGTTAGACGAGACTTAAAAACGTGAAGGGACGGCGTCTGCCTAATGCTCAGTGGCAATTCGTTCCACAGAGTTGGAGCCAGAACAGAAAAAGCACGACAACCCCTCGATCGATATTTCGACCGGGGGACCACCAGAAGTTCCTGCTCGGCTGAGCGAAGAGACCGAGATGGAGCATACCTCTGCAAAAGTGCAGTAATGTACGAGGGGGCACTGCCCTGGAGGGCCTTATAAACGAGAGTTAAGATTTTAAACTTAGCTCGGTATTTTACCGGGAGCCAGTGCAGAGCATCCAGCACTGGGGTAATGTGCTCTCGACGCCTAGTACCTGTCAGGAACCTAGCCACAGAGGTCTGCACAAACTGGAGCCGTGCAACCGTGCACTGGGCCAGACCAGCATACAGAGCGTTGCAGTAGTCCAGCCGGGACAGGACGAAGGCATGCAACACAGACTCCAGATGAGCTCTGGACAGCAGACGCCTGATCCTGGATAGTCTTTCCAGGTTAAAGAAACAGGACCTCACCACTGTATTTACATGAGTGTCAAGATTAAGTGATGAGTCGATTTTAATCATTAAATTACTGACCATTTTCTTTTCATAGGGGGTCAATAGGCCAAGGTCAATATCAGCACCAGAGCTATTTCTTCTGCCAGGACTAAGTATTATAACTTCCGTTTTGCTCTCATTTAGGTGCAAAAAATTAGAAGCCATCCAGCATATTTTAAAGCACTCAGGGCCAGTTTGCTCCAGCCATTCTTTCTCTTCCACATACGATTATTGGTGTTTTGTTGTTGAATCTAAAATTCTCAAATATGTTATTTTTTAAAGATTTTAAAGCGCCTTTGACTCAGGCTGCAAAGGTTTTATCTGTCACAAGGTTGCATGTCAGACAGCAAGCAGAAGCTCCAACACCCACAAAAGAGACACGTTGTGTTTGGGTTGTCTCAGCAGACAGGTCGGAGGCTGTCGCTGAAGCCAGAATGAGGAAGCTGAGTGTAACTGCAGCCGGCAGAAAGAGAAAAACACAACTCTTCTTGGACGTGTCAGCCGCGTGGTATCAAACGTGCGCGCATTATGTGCAAGCGCGCGGTTGCTATTGTAGGGCAGTGTGTTTTAGGGTGGCACTGCGCTGCTGTCTGAGGTGGTGCATTGTGGTAAATGCAGATGCACAGACACACAGGAAGAGGTCAGGCTTTGTGTAAGAAAAAAAAATCCCCCGGAGTCATTCAAATTATTTGGTACATGCATGCAAAGCACTCAGGAGAGGACAGTAAAAGTACAGTGAGCCATGTGGGAAAAAGTTCCACTTGTGACCAAATTTTAACAGAGAATTCCCTTAAAAGGTTTTCTAAAGAAGTTTCTGAGGCTGACTGAAGAAAACAGGAATGAAAATGTGTTTACACTGCGGTGTCAGTGAGCCCAAACAAACATGAACTAAAACGTGACTTCAACCATAGATCAGCTCCAGAACAACGTTCTAGAAGCGGGGCATCTTCTGTAATTCACTTTATCAAATAGCAAAAAGAGCGTGACATCCTTTTCCTGTTTTACATTAGAATTCAAATGATGGATTTCCTGTGTAGTCACTCGGCAGTGAGACTATTACCATATAGGGATGCAACCAGGAGATGGAGGGCAGGAGGAAGAGAAAAGAAGAAGCAACAAGACTCAACTTGTTGATGGCTGAATCCGTTCAGACTGGTGAGCGCAGTCAGCCAGCTAGAAACAGCAAACAAGCCAAGTTTCACTTTTCTGTCAGAATGTGTGCTAAAGCACCATCCTGTTTTAGCCTGGGTCTGTCTGGACCTGCTTTAAACAGAAATAAAGTCACTCAGAAGAAGCCTGGATGCCTTTTTTACACAAGTGAAAAGAAAATATGCACTAAAATTATGAAGAGTCTAGAAATCGGCTTTATTCGGACCAAAATAGTTGATCTAAATATTTTTCCTGCCTGAAATAATGAATAAAAAGTTGAGTTGCACTCCGGCGGCCATGATGCTGACATTTTACAACCAAAACATAAACTTCCCAATTTCATCTACTTTGTGTTCTTCATTCAAGGTTGTCCTATGGTCGCCGTTAGTCTCAAACACAAACATGTCTTAGTTTTTTGTTCTGTTGAACACACAGTCCTCAAGTCAGACAAAACACCTCTAAAGGCAAAATATAATAATAAAAAAAAAAACTCCAGACACTTTTTGCTAATTGTAAGTTGCATCAATAAAAGATTTCCTTACTTTTATGTAATAATCTAAGTTTTCTGATCCACAGGCTCGACAAATCCACCTTTTCATTCTGTGCATTTGGTTCTGGCGGATATCATTGATGTACAGATGTGTTCTTATTGGAAATCTTGTGAATTCAGCCTTGAGTCTGAAGTTGAACTCTAAACAAATGTCCCTTTAGGTTTCAGGAAGGGGTTTCAAACACTTAAGCCACGACTAAAAACTTGTGCAGTTGCTGCAGTGTTCCTCTAGGAAAGTGTCATCATTCGCTAAAATGGTGCTTTATAATTGTCACAGCAAACAGCTGAGAGACCAGGTGAGGTAATGTTTTGTAATCCTGGTCCGGTGTGATTTGGATGGACCCAACACGCCTTAAACAAAAGACTGATTTACTAGTTTGCCATTCCTGCATTCCTACTGACCCATGAAATAAAACCAGGCTTGTTGAAGCAGGAGCACACCTTAAGCATGCTGGGTAGTGTGCCTCCATGACCAGATGTGGGAAACACCAACCTGAGAAAAGAATGTGTGTAAGAGGGAGGACGCAGACAAAAGCCAACATCAACACCAAACCCGGAGGCTTTTATTAGACTCAACAGAATGATCCAGCTTTGGTGGTCTGTTTAAACTTTTACTGTCTGAATCATCTGTGTGTGTTTTCATAACAGCTGTTTTACTTGAAAAGGACTGAGCTACCCTGTGGTACTTCTGTTGCTATGGTAACTGATTCATTGTTGAATCCTGTTTACTTGACGTGGGTGGAAGGCAGCACCTTCACATGCAGCAATACCTTCTGTCCTTCAAGACCTCATTACAATGCAACACACCCGATTCAGAGCGCCTAACATCATGCCCATAAAAGGCGTTTTTCTACTGCATGCTGTTTCATCAAGCGGCCTCAGCTCTGTCAGCGTGGCTCACGCGTACTCTCTACTGGAATAAGATGGAATTACTAGCCTTTACTTTACAAAGTCATGATTAAGATTCATTTTAATGATTGTATGTCCAAGTACATCATATTTAACATATTCTGTCTTACATTTTAAACCCTCTCCTGATTATTATTATTTTTTGTATTTGATCAGCTCTTTGGAGGGCCTCTTGTCCTGTGGTTATTATCGTTATTGCTGTATCATCTTGTGTTATTTTGTAGTGCTCGTCCTGTGTGCAGGGTTATTTTGTCTTGCTTGGGTGTCATTCATGTCTTTTGAGTCATTGTGTGTTCATAGGACAGAGTGTGCATGTGTGTGTACTTTCTGTGTGTAGTATCAGTTTCACAGTCTTTGTTGTTTACTCGCCTTTGGTTTTGTTCATTTTGTCAGGTTGTTGTCATTTTGTGTCTTTGACGACACATTTTTATAACTTTCATGTAGTTTGTGCATTGTATGGTGAGTAAGATCAAATTGTTTCCACTGAGTCGGGGATTTATTTGTGTCACTAAAACATGGTTTTAATTTCCTTTAAATTTAATTAGTAACTCAATGAATTTTGTGGTGGTAGTACGTAGACCTGCATCAATTTTTGTTTTTCAAGTCTGCAGATAAAATTGACAGGGAAGATAAAACTAATAAAAGCTCTTTTAGATTAACAATGAATGCATTTAAAACACTTTTCTTGATGATACTCACATAAAATGACGATTAAAAAGTTCAGGAACTGTCGATGACCTACATTTAGCAGCGCTTTACAAAGTAACAATTGCTTTTGAACGCACCCTCCAAAGATTGAATTAAGTTACTTCCGCCTTTTTGTCTTATTGCCCAATCACAACAAAGTAGCAGAAGTTTTCGCTCATTTGATTGGTTGATTTTTGTTGTCAATCTTCCCCGCCTCCTCCTGACCTGCCTCCAGACTCCACCCTCCACCCGATTCAGTGTGCTGAAAGCTTGGCTGTTGATATCTCGTAGGTGAGTGGCACATTGGCACACATCTTTTAGTATATTTACGTATTTATTTCCCTAACACGTTGTGTTTGAATTTCTCAGCGTTTAAATTAGTTCCTCGTGCTTAGATATAAAAAGATAAATTGTGTTTTATTTGCTTCTGTGTGAGCACTGGCGTTATTTTAACCCCAAACAACGTTTTTCCTCCCATTTTCCTCTTGCTTACAAACACAGTCGATGCGCGCGCAGCTAAAGATCAAACCAGCTGACTTATGCGATCAAATTATTAAATTTAGCGTTTATCTAAATCTTTGAAATGTAAATGATATCAAAATATACTTCACAGCGCAGAATTTTACTGCAGGCTCGCATAGCTGAACGTATTTATGAATGAGCTCGTCAATTTTTCACGATCGATCGTGTCTCGAGCAACGGCCGCTGTAGTAAACACAACGTGAGGGATCACGTGAGTCCAAGTGCTGAAAGAAAATACCAGAAAAAAGAGGAGAGCCAGTTGTGGCTGTTTTACAAATAGCTGTGGAATCAAACCTGTTTGACTGCCTTTCTACTCAGTTTTGGTGTTTATTGCTCTTCAGCTAGCTTCCGCAAGCTAATGTTTGTGCAGTTATTCCTGTAATATTATGAAAAGTGATGGAGGCATCTGCAGAATCAGCATCATTAAGTTGTCTGTTAAATACATTTAAATATAATTTGAGAGACGTGGCTTGACTTTCATCACATTGGTAAACAGGTTTTAAATATTAATGAATACTTTTACTCAGATCATACACTTTCAGTTCCTGCTCTGCAGCCACGAGTAGGTAGTCTAGTGAACTAGACCACATTCTTGCTTTGCAAAGTTTGCAAATTGCAAAGTTTGCAGTTAAATAATACATTTATTTAGTCTGGCTTGCCAGGCTAACGATTAGGATGACCATATTTACATCTGTGTAGGAGATCTGTGTCTGTCGATGACGTCATATATGGCAACACCACACAAACCACATTAGGACCCATTTTTTTCAGGTCTAAGAGCTAAAATTAATATCAGATTCTGCCAACAAAATGGCTCTAAAACAAATCATATGTAAATGTTTAGCATATTTATTGCAAAATCCAATTTTTCTGCTGCTTTAATGCTGCAACAACGTTATATTAATAAGAAATTATGATACCTTTTGTTTTACTACAGCATTGGTAAGATTCCTGTGCACCGAGGATCTTGTTTCAGCTGTGAGATTAGATGATAGGATCAATGAAAAATAAATCTTGTCATGGACTCCATGGAAACTTCCAGGGGATCCACAAATAGTGGCTTTCAAACGGTTTTGTTACTGACAAATGTTTGTGAGTTTAGAAAAGAAGCAGATGAGACAGCATGGCCAACAGTTTTGTTTTACGTCGGACAACATTAGAACATGTCAGTAATGTCTGAGGTGTTTTTATAAAAACTGTATAACTAACACTCCAGGACAGGGTAGGAATTACACAGAGGCTGGGGTGGGGGGTCGGGGGGTCTGTTTTGCCTTGACCCTCATTGAAACGATCCTGGGTGTGTGTTGGAGAGGCACCTGGCTGCAGACCACCACTGTCAGGCTGCTTCCGGTGGAGGCTCCTCTGTCAGGACGGGAAATGCACGGGATACATTACAAAATAAAACGGCAAACGCACTTACGCTTGTAATCGATAGATTTTACGTAATATTTTATATTGAACCCTATCAATTATTTCTCTATAGTTCATATGTAGTTGTCATTCAACATGCTTACGGTTGTAATTTTTCAAAATGAATTAACGAATGGCCGGGATAGGCTTCAACACAAAACGCTAACATACTTCCGGTCGTCATATTTCTAAATAAAATCCCGAATGCTGTTTCGGTTGAATCGCTCTCCTCAGAAACGCATTCATGTTTTAATATTACGTCTTAGATTATGACAGAATATATCATAATGACCACGTTGTGCAACAGTAAAGGAAAACAACAAAAATGACAAACAAAACTAAGGTTTACTAAATAAATGACAACTATTTATGAACTATAGAGAAATAATAGATAGATTTTACGTAATATTAAAAACATGAATTATGTTATGTTAGCGTTATCCCGGCCATTCATTAATTCATTTAGAAAAAATACAACCGTAAGCATGTTAAATGACAACTACATATGAACTATAGAGAAATAATTGATACATTTATTTTACGTCATATTTTATATTGAAACCTATCGATTACAAGCGTAAGTATGTTTGCCGTTTTATTTTGTAATGTATCCCGTGCATTTCCCGTCCTGACCGTGGAGGTCTGCAGCCAGGTGCTCTTGCTGAGTTTTGAAGATCTGGAATGCATCAAATGCATAAATATGACATGTTTATAACTTATTATTTTATACAGGTACAAACGTGTAGTGGAGGTAAATCTACCTACATTTTACTTTCAAGTTTTGTTTTCTTGTTTTTATTGAACAATTTTCCTGTCCTGTCTGTCTCTCATTTTCCTGCACCTCCTCTAAACGCTCCAGAAAAACTGCTGCCTGGATTCCTACTTTTTCACCTCATTAGTAACTTTTGAACTACGAAAGAGGACGTCTGGTCCCCCTAGCCACGAGTCACATGTTGGGTTTCTTTACTATGTTTAACACAAAGCTTTAAACATGAGCATGTTGTGTGATTGGAAGAACTACAACAAAACCTTTTGTGTGTTTCAACGATTGTTTCGTTAAAATTTGAAAAACCTAACGGAAGAGGCAGACCGTAGGTTATTTTAAGCTTCTGACTGTGTTTTTACCTCCAAATGTCAGCTTCTCACCCCAAGAATTACAATAAGAAAGACTTGCGTCCCTAAATTTCCTTAGTTTAATGGTACAAGGAGCACGATCAAATCACAAGTAGGTTTAACGTGGTTTGACCAAGCACACTTCGTTTTACATAATGATGTAAAAAGTCACTGGAGTCCAACAGAACCATGCAAATGTACTTTTGCTACCAACCTGATATTACTCTTCCTGTTGCTGTAATTGCTATTATCTGCCTTCCTCCCTAGGTGTGTGTGTTTGGCAGCAGAGCTTCATGGGTAACTCTGAGAGCGCTGCGGCGCAGAAGCGAATTGCACGGTTCCGTCCAGAGGAACGGTCCGTGGTCGAGGAGGTTTTCGACAAACTCCAGAATGGTTCTCCGGCTTCGGAAACACCTGGAAAGGCTCTGACGCTCGATATGATTCAGGTGGTTGAAGCAGAAAAACATTTTTAAAGTCAAACTGAATCTCGTCTTTTATCAGTTGACTCGTTTCTCCAGCAGCGTACTTTTTTCATATCATCTTTTAGTGCATCACTCAGGAAGTTTCTGTCACTGTCTTGCAGATTTTTGTAATCACCCCTTTGGTTTTTCTTTTCCAGGCCTCAGTTGGCAGTTTGGCGTCAGAGTCCATGGTGAAGAGGCTCTATCGGTGCATGTGCAGCATCGACCTGGGACAGGCGGGACCTTCAGACTCACAGAAGACCAGCCAGCCTGCCTCTGGTGTTAGTCGGGAGCAGCTGGTTGTCTTTCTAGCAGACACTCTGCGAGGCACTTCAGAGGAACGGGCCCCTCTCGTCCTGACTATGTCCCACAATGCAGCAGGGGTACCAGAAGTTGTCACGTGTGAACAAGTATCGGAAGTGAGTAGGGAGCTTAAACAGGAAATAGTGAAGGTGTTTCTGTTATTCTGGTCTCTTTTTTTATTTGTGTATGTTTTTACAGTTTCTGCAGGACATGATTTCTGCTGTAGTGCAGATTTTGACCCACAGGGGGCATCTTCGAGGCTGGCATCCAGATAAAATGGGTGATACCGCCCAGGGTGTGAAACTACTAGCAGAACAGATGTGTTCTGAGCTCAAACCCTCCGGTAAACTCGTGATTTTAAGTTCTAGAATGTCTCGAGAGTCGGTAGTTTGATTTTCTGACTGCTCTGCTTCACCCCGCCCAGATCGGGGAACTTGTGATGTCTCTTGTCTGGAGGACTGGGTCTTCAGAGTCCCCCAGGTGTCTGTGTATCTGGAGATGCTGGTAGCCGAGGGTCTAAATGTGTCTCTGAATTCCCGGGTGACACCAACGCTCCTGCCGCTTTGCGCGGAGACACACTGGAAAAACTTGGAATGTCTGCTGGACCTTCCCACCCTAATGTTTCTGGCTCCACAGGTCAGAGATTTAGTAACTGTTGTGTTTGGGCTTCACGAGACTTGTTTAGTAAAAGTTTTATGTTACAGATGAAGAGTTTTTGCAGTGACAACGATCAAGAAAAACTAAAAAACTAATAATCATTTCATAGAAATAGAGGAAATTCCTACAAGGAATCATATAACACTTGATCGAGCCACCGACTGTTGTTGCTGCACCAACACAAAACACACACGTGATGATTTGTTGAGTGGATTACTCGATAATCCCATTTACAGAAACAGAGTTAAACAGATTCACTAATCTCTCTCGTTTGTGTGTAATACTGCTGCTTTCTAGATACCAGATGGCTTCAGCACCCCTTGGAAGCTCGTGTTTTCCACACACCTGCACGGCGAGAGTTTCACCAAGATGGTGTCTGGCCTGATGCATCATGGACCTACCTTACTGCTCATCAAAGACACTAAGGGTCATGTTTTTGGAGGCTATGCGTCACACACCTGGGAGATTAAACCTCAGTTTCAGGGTGAGGCCATTTTGATTTTGTGATGTTTGAATGTCTCACAGATAATCAGTGCTATAGGGTGGCGTTGGTAAAGTCAAATAGTCGTAGTTTAACAGCAGAATTTTGGGTTATTTATTACGGCCGGCGGCGTATTACTGTCGGTGCGAGGGGAATAAATAAAGGATCAGTATCTTCCATTGTATTTAGATGCGATCTAAATATTCATTTTGTAAAATAAAAAATTAATTTGGAGCAAAATATTTAGGTAAATATTTAACTTCAAATTAAATATTTATTTAGTAAATTAAATATTTAATTTACTAAATAAATATTTAGCTTGCTAACTAAATATTTACTGAGGAACTTTAACATTTATAAAGGTATGAAAACATTGTGAAAATATGACTTTGAAAAGTAACCTCCCATTTTTTTCTCACATGATAATCCAAAATACTGCTGTTAAAGAGCAAGTCACCCCCTACCAGAGTCTTAATCCACTCCCACTTCCTGTTTGAAAAATGCAACAACTGCTGTTGCCTGGCAGACCGAGAGGGGGCGGAATCGCTAACAAACACACACACAGGCTCACAACGACATTGTGACATCATATGGTACCAGCTAACGTCATAGTGGACCTCTTAGCCAATAGCGATGGCAGATTTAAATTCAAATGCAGAGTTTTACCTGAAGATTGTGCAACACTGTCAGTTTTTGGCAAAATATTTAAATTTGAACTAAGATGCACTAAAGTGCTAAACTATTGACGACACATGTCTGCAGCACGATTAGACACTCACTTATATAGTTTATCAGCAAAAGAAAAGCTGATTTGGGGGTGACTTGCTCTTTAAATTATGACTGACTTTACAAACGGCACCCCATAATATTCATTCATGAGTAGAATTTGTTTATAAAGTCAACTTTTGGGGGGAAATGTTTTTTTGCTGTTTTGTTAGATGTTGCTGCTGTTTATAGTGAATCTGGGGTCTCATTTATCAAACATTGCGTAGAATCCTTATTAAAACCGTACTTTCAATTTCAATAGATTTTATTTTGGTCATTTAAAAAGAAAAAAGAAAGAATACAATAAAACAGAATCTCAATTGTAGTAACCTAAAAGGTGTAGGCTGAGGCCGAGCTTTTTATGCCTACCCTATTTACTCAATCACATTACTTATCATGAAAAAATAACAAAGTAGTAATAGTAATAAAAAGTAGTAATAAAAATGCTTGTTCTGTGTGAAAACGAAGCGGTACAAGTGATAATGCTGCAGGATTTCTCTCAGCAGCAGCACTGCAGGTGCTCTCCATGTCCGACGTGTGCATAAGCCAGGTCCTTAGTCAACTTAAAGTTATGCACATTTTTCTGCTAAGTTTTCTTTCATAACTCCCAAAGTTTGCATGGAAAGTTGCTTACGCAGTTTTCCGACCCCGTTTTGTGCGTAAGCAAGCGTGATGAATGAGACCCCTGGTCATTTGTGTACTTGCACAGTTTGACCAGTAGGCGGCACTACACACCTGCGACCTATGGAAATAGTTGAAAATATATTTTCTTCATTTGTCGCTGCTTTAACCACCACGCAAAAGATGACGTCACTTTAACAAAGGTTGATTTTAGTTCATGGGTCAAAGTGAAACTATTCATAAAACTAAGCACATCCCATAATGTAAGTACACAACAGATCCACAGGGTGAAACTCAACAGTAAACCTAAGAACAAGCTTCCAACACGAACCAGTTAACATCTTATCTTACAGACAGAGATGGTTTCCTTTTATTGTTGATATTATTCACATTTTTAATTCCCATAATGAAGCTTTTAAGTGAGAAGATCAGCACAAGCATCTTGCAGCTCTTCATTACCTTGCAGTTAAATAACTTTGGTTGTAAAAATACATATTTAAAGAATAAGAAACGCGTGTTGTTGTTTATAATCTGTAATGCTGTGCTATCGGCAGATGGAGGCTTATCAATCACTGATGATGTAACTCACTGAGGAAGTAATACTCCGCGTTTGAATACTGTGGACAGTCACCTGACTTTTCTGTCAGATCTTTTTCATTTGTGTATTTATGTGCATGCAGGTGACTCCAGATGCTTCCTGTTCTCTGTGTTCCCCACGCTGAGGGTTTATACAGCTACAGGATACAATGAACACTTCATGTATCTCAACCAGCACCAACAGACGATGCCCAACGGACTGGTGAGACCAGCGGCTCAAACCCAGCAGAGCTTTTAATTCGCTCAAACGGAGCCCAAACCAGCATTTCCGTTGTTAATTCTGCACCCTGAGCCTAAAAGTGTTTTATAATTACACTTCGGCTTAAATGTTAAACGACATATTCAGATATTCTCCCGAGGAAAACACATTTTTACATTTTCTTGTCTCCATCAGGGGATGGGCGGTCAGCACGACTACTTCGGCTTGTGGCTGGACAGCGACTTCGGTCGAGGTCACAGCCGCGCGCATCCCAAGTGCACCACCTTCGGCAGCCCTCAGCTCTCCGGAGACGAGGACTTCACTCTGGATTCAGTGGAAGTGTGGGCTGTTGGAAAGCCCCCACAACCCCCAGAGGTGCCACTTTTATTTTCACACCCAATATTAGACATAATTGTAGGGCTGCTCGATTATGGCAAAAATAATAATCACGATTATTGTGACTGAAATTGAGATCACGATTATTTAGGACGATTTTTCAATTTATGTTGATTTTATTTGTTTTTATTCAGTCATAAAATTGCTCAGGGCACAATCAGGACAAAAACAAGAAACAAGATGATCACTAAAAGAACTCCTGATTCCCAGTATAAAAAGACCAATATACTTATAGCTCATAGTTTATGACCCAAGGGCTATAGACCTTGGTTTAACTCATTTAAGTCTAACCAGTACAGACCCAAATACCAATATCTTGCAAATACTGACAACAAGAATTATACAGTAACATTTATAACAAATAAATGCAAATAAATTGATGTTCACAAAATGTTGCATAACATTTATTGAGTCATGTCAAGGTGCTGTAGGAGAGTGCACTAGCACCGTGTCCTCAGAGAGATTAGTTATTATTTATCAGCGTGAGGAACTTATTTCTACCTTATTTATAAACTATGTATTTACAAGTCCATCAGTTAATGTAATAATTGTCCCAACCACAGCTACACCCCCCACCCCCCAACCCGGTCTCACAGCAATCAGGGCAAGCTTCACGTGTTTATCGCGCCGCACGCGCACATTTAGCCGTTTTTAGCGGCTCAGGAGTCCGCAGGTGCGGTGTGTGTGTCACTCACTCTGGTTAGTCCAACAGGGAGCCGGCTCTGAGAGCCGTTTCTTTAGCGACCGACACATCACTACATCATTCCCTTTCCTAATGTCCTGAAGAACGGTCCGGAGCGCAGGCGGAGTGTTTAGCTAACCTGCAGGAACCAGAAAGTAGCTAAGGGTTACCAGAGATGTTTCTGAGGTGTTCGCTAGGTACTTTTAGGATTAAAAAGTCAAGAAGGGGGTCTGAAAAGCTGTTGGAAATAGCGTCAAAGTCACTAAGTTGGCAACATTGTGGAGGAGCGCTTCATTTGCAACTCAGGGCAGCGCAAGCGGGAGGAGCAAATAAGCGGCTTGTTTTGTTTTTTATAATCGTTCAAAACTCAGATCGTAATCGTGATAAAAATTCGATTAATTGAGCAGCCCTACATAATTGTGTGTTTTCTGTTTAAAGTCCTCAGAGGACACAACTAGAAAAGGGTTTGCTAGCGCAGTTGTCCCAGGAGATAAAAGTAGACCAACACTTTAGGGTGTAATGGCCAAGATACTGAGAACACGCCCATCTCGTCAGCACTTGAACACGAGAAAGTCCGCCTTTGCTTAGAATAATCATCTGATGTCAATAATCATCTGATGTCAACGCTATTATCAGCTACAGACGCCATGTTTCATACAGACGAGTCAGCGAAGCGGTGAGTTAGGAAGTAGAATCTGCCGCTGTGGAAATGAGCCAGAAAATTCACCTTTTTCTCAGCCGGAGAGAGTTAAAGCGGTCAAACCAGCTGATCTTCTTCAGAAGTACATAAAAGGTTTCACTGTTCTAACTATCCGATGACCACATCTTTACGATACGTTATTTTTTATTGTGATCGCGTGATTTTGAACCCCCTTTTGTTGGTGATGTGAGGGCATACCTAGGCCACGATAATGGTTGGCTCAGCAGGAAAGGGAAATAAAAGCCAGACTCCAGTTTTTCTATGAAGAAAGAGAATAAATCACGCTTGCAGAAACTAATAAAACAAAATAACAAACCAAGGAGTGTTGTCCCAAAGCAAAACACAGAAACCCCCGAAGGGAAAGGAAGTAAACACACCACCAGCAGGAAAACTCCTTTACGTGCCAGCGGTTTTATTTCCATCTAAACTCGTGGTTCTTCAGCGCTTGTTGGATCTGCTTGTTGGATGTTTCAGGACGAGGAAGAGGAGGGGAAGAAGAGCATCTTGGTTGTGGACCCAGAAGTTCAGGCCATGATGGAGCTGACAGGAAAAACTCTGCACAGCGAGGGATTCAGAGAGCTGGAGGAGGACCTGGATTAGTGGTCCGGTCCGCCTGGTACCGACCCACCCAGACGTGGACAGGCGTCTCGTTTGCGTGGGAATTCTTTTAAACTCACAAAATGTTTCTTTTTAAAATGTATTAGCTTAGCATCATTTAACCAGGCTTACAATTCAAAAGCTGTGAGCTTTGGGGACACCAGTGAGGAGTGGGTTTACACGTTTGCTCCGGTTCTAGTAAACACAATAAAAGATCTGCTTCATAGTTAAATAGTTCATCACTTGCTTAAAATCCCCAAAATCTAAAAAAAAGAAAGAACTGATGTGAAATTCTTGGTAAATGTGACTGAAAAGTAGTGTTTTGTGTGTTTTAGCCGGTGGAGACGCTCAGATTCGGGGTTTTCCTGCTTTAGAGATGAGAAATATTTCATCCCTCCGTAAATGTTTGGCTGTTTATAAGTTGGTGCCCAGTTTAGTGTTAATGTTTTATAACTTGTAAGATTTTACTGAATGATTTTCTTCTGACTGCATTAAGTTTGTGTGTTCTGTTTAATCCGAGCGAGCTGCTAAAGGGTCGGCTTTGTCCTTCTGTAATACTTCCCTAGTACAGAAAAACTAGAGTACAAATACTTCACCAGTTGCACTTATTGCAAGAGGAACATTTGGTTGTTGCTGCTCGTGCTGCTGCAATCTGTGCAAAATTGTAACGGTTTGAACTTTTTCACACATTTTATAGTCAAATCTAAGTCAGTGATGATGTCATCCATGCATGTAGTTACTGCCTCCGTAGAACCAGAACCCTTAACCACCAGAGCCACTAGTTTTCTCAGATGCTGCACAAACCTGGACATTAAAAGAGCTCCAAAACCGTCAGCTTACGTATAATCATGTAACATTACCCCTATCGTGCTTTAAGGTCTTTTATTTTGTTAAAATTTCAGTAAGATTGAGCATAAGTGGCATTCAAGGTCAAGGTTTGAGGAATTAAAAACCATACATTAAAGTTAGAGTTTTTGTTCTTGATCACGTTCGTGGAATATTTGTTGAGACAAATGTGTTATTAAATCACACTAACCATAAAGTGCATGCTGATTACATTTTAGCTGAAGCTTTGTCAGCAGTATGAATATTTCTACCTCGAGTCGTTTTGACAGTTTGTGTAAGACTTGAGCTTTCACGGTGCACATAGTGAATATAAAGTGTGTGAACATGCTGTATGTGTACTTCATGGCATTAAAGTTAAAGATGATCTGTAATGGCTCATGTTTTTCTGCTTTCGTTTGGTCATGTCTAATCCAGCAAACGTCCTACATGAGCTGCATTAATACAGACACCTGTTGAAAGGTGGCTTTGTCCCCTCCCCCCATCTCTTCTGCTATCATGCAAATAACAGAGCCAAGTTACTCATGCAAATCTCCCTGAGCCAAACCGCAATCCAGAGTCACGATGGTGCATGCATTAGTGCGTTTCACAAGTTTACCCAACAGGTTGGTGAAATATCAAAGAAGCTGTCAGAAAATTGTAAATTTAGCTAAATCTTAAAGAGCAAGTCACCCCCAGATCAACTTTTTTCTGATAAAACTATAGAAATGCGTGTCTAATCGTGCTGCAGACACGTGTCGTCAATAGTTTAGCACTTTAGTGCATTTTAGTTAAAACAAAACTCAGTATTGTGCCGTTGTCAGGTAAAAACTCTGCACTGCATTTGAATTTAAATCTGCCATCGCTATTGGCTAAGAGGTACCCTAGAACGTTAGCTAGTACCATATGATGTCACAATGTCGTTGTGAGCCTGTGTGTGTGTGTATTTGTTAGCGGCTCCGCCCTCTCGGTCTGCTAGGCAACAGCATTTGTTGCATTTTTCAAACAGGAAGTGGGAGTGGAGTAATACTCTGGTAGGGGGTGACTTGCTCTTTAAAATCACTTTCAGTCTAAATTCATATATTTCTCCGAAAGGCAAAATAATCCTACAAATAAGGATTTGTAATTTGTGCAACTTTAAAACTGAATGCAAAGTAAAATGAAACAAACGGCTGATGATTCATCTAAATGTAACGCACGTAAAAGAGAATTGACACGTGAACCATGGAGGTAAAAGGCAGGAGAAGCTGGTTTCTCATCATTTACAGGTGTGGAACTCTGAAAAAGATTTTTAATGTTTATTTCTGATTCTAACGGGTCACTCTTGAGTTTAACATGCAGGCTGAACATGAAAATAGTCTCCTACACTACACCTATCTCCCGCATTAGCTTCTGATAGAAAACAGACGGTGAAACTCTAGGATTAGAGAATCCTGACAGATCTACGTCACCCTGTCACTAACATTCATGGACTCACGACGGGGAAGGCTGTTGCTGGTTCAGCGTCCAGGAAACAGCAGAGAACGTCCCTATGAGAAGAAGCTAACTGTTAGCATTAGCAGTACCACACCGCACAGAAATGCTCCTCCAGGCTTGTGTGATTTGTGGAGATAAAACATCAATGTTGCAGAGCAAACAGAGCCAGTGGTCGAGTCACGCTGCTGTTGGCCAAATGTGTTCATCCATTTTCTGTACCCGATTATTCACGCAGGGGTGCCTATCTCCAGCAGTCTTGGACCCTGGACAGGCTGCCAGTCCAGACAGAGACACACAGGACAAACAACCACACACACCTAAGGACAGCTTAGAGAGACCAATCAACCTGACCGTCATGTTTTTGGACTGTGGGAGGAAGCCAGAGTAAACGAAGAGAACCCACGTGTGCACAGGGAGAACACGCAAACTCGTCGCAGAAAGACCTCAGGCCTTCTTGCTACAAAGCAACAGCGCTAACCACTGCGCCACTGCGCAGCTCCAAATATGTCCAAATATCAAGAAACAAGACTCCAAATCCTGTCATGTTGCTGCTGCAGCAGACTTGTGCTGATCCAAGTGCTTCTGGGAATTTTTTGCCCTGAGAACGACTTGCAAGGCATTCAGTTCAATTCAATTCAAAAATACTTTATTAATCCCAGAGGGAAATTGATTGCTGTAGTAGCTCAGAATAATAATAATGATCAAGTCATCAAAGAGGTGTTGTATATTACATTGGCTGTTGGCAGGAAGGATCTCCAGTAGCGGTCAGTGTTGCAGCCAAACTGAAGAAGCCTCTGACTGAAGACACTCTTCCGTTGTCGGACAGTCTTGTGAAGAGAATGCTCAGGGTTGTCCATCATTTTCTTGATTCTCTGGAGAATCCTTCTTTGCATCATCTCCTCCAGCGGTTCCGAAACTGCCGACACTCTGGCTGAGTCCTTGAAAGGGCTTGGAGTTCCTCCATCTTGTTGGCCAGTGATCTCACATTGCCCGTTATGATCGATTATGATCGATGGAAGAGATGGTTTGAATTTCCTCTTTCTCTGTCTCCATTTTGCTCCCGCTCTGCACCCACGCTTCTTGCGTTTTAGCTCATTTGGGATTTGTGGCTTCAGTTGAGGTATTATTTCAGCCTTTCCCATGTTAATCAGCTTGTTGCCATGGTTACGCATCATAACAAATGCTCAAAAAGTGAAAAAAGCTACAAAATAGCAGTAAAAATCCTCCAAGCTTCACAGCACCAGAAACAGATAAGTAAAGTGTCCAAAAAATACAGTTTTTCTTGAGAAACTAGAAGAAAAAATGTCCAAGAAAAGGCTAAACTTACATATAGTCAACAGAGCTACTCCAACATGCAGCCGTTGCTACCGGAGACCAATGTGTTAAAGAGTTTCCCACACCTTTAATGGTTTTAAGAAGATATTATTCATTTTTAATGAAGGTGCGTAAGGGACAGCTGCTGTTTTGATCAATTGTTCATAATTAAAATTATTAGACAGTATTTGTCAAATTTGACCACATGGACATGTCCTCTCTGATGTGAAACAACCCTCTTTAGGATTTGCACCAACACGAACATGTATTTTTTATTCTTCTTTATCACACACAGCAGGTTTCCTCAGACACCAGATGCTCACAGAGCAGTTATTTAGAAACATCCTCTCCTGCAGGTCCAGCAGCAGCTTTGAGCTTTGCATAGATATCGTCCCGGTTTCCGGACTCTTTTTTTTACGTGCATGCTGCTGAGCTTATAATGCAAGTTAACTTTTACTTCCTCGTACACGCACGCTGATAGAGGAACTGGCCGTCCTGCGGCTGCTTTTTGTCAACACTCTACATCCTCTCCTGCCTCGTTTCTCAACCTTCAAATCATGGTTTGATAAAAACAGGAGCAGGTTTTGTGGAGCTGAGGAAAAAAACCAAACACTCTAAAAGGTAAGCGTTTTAATCCAGCTGATTGTCGTGCCTGTCGCTGCGTCAGCACCACGGAGGAAGGGAAGTCCGCGCTTTTTTATTTATAACTGCCAGAGTTTGCAGAAGATGTCAAGAGTCCAACCGGGCGGCTGTGGTGCGTTCACGGTCATACAGTAATACTCAGCTGCGGGCTTTCCTCTCATCTCCTCCGCATTACGATTCATTTTCAAACACTTAAAAGGACACAAACTAAGAATCTGGATTTTCCCGGAACATTTGAACTCCCATCACTATAAAATGATGACTTCTGAGGCCCCTGGGTCGCAGTTCAACCCCATTACAGGATCAGTAAAAGCAACTGCTTTGGCCACTCAGTCATGTTTTTTATTCTTTATTTGCAAGTTTAACTTTAAAACTCCCCTCCTCTTTTCTCTGCTTTGTTTTTTATGTTTTTTGTTTGTTCTGCGTTTCAGAAGCCTTTTGTTCATTTCTGCCTTCTCCTAACTCACGCTGCACTGTTTTATTTATGTCACTGTTGTTTTTGTTGCTGTACTTTTTAGTTTGGTCTGGCAGCATTTTGCCACTTTTCTGTGTTTTCAAACTAAAGCTTAACTATAAAATTTTTCAAACATCTTTCTAGCATAGCCCCAATTTTCATTATTCATCCTGAATAATGAAAGCACCACAAAAACTCTCAGAGGTTAACACAAACTGATAAAATACACATTTCAACAGACAGAAGCAAACTTTAACAACCTCAGGGCCGTTTGTAATCCTCATATTTGGATGTTTGTGTTCCATGTGAGGCTCATTTAAAAGGGGATTTAGAGAGTCTGATAATCCTACAGCTTTGTCATGAAGATGACTCCGGCCCTCTAAAACCGATTCTTATAATGTAATCCAGATTAAAATCGGGCATCAGTCAGTCAAAAACATCTGCACCAAACAGGAATTTGAACTCTGATCAAGGTGACTCTGGAGCCAGCCGAATCTTGTTCTCAGCTTTCTGACGCTCTAACTCCTAATGCTAAAACAGAACAGCTGATGATGATCTGTGTCATAGTTTCATCTGCTGACTGGAACTGTTTGTTGTTCTGCTTAAGTCCCATTCCGTTGGTTGGGGGACTTGAAAGGTGCAGCAGGTAGATGCATGCTGACACGGTTGGTAGCACTGTTGCCTCAGAGCAAGAAGGTTGCAGGGTTGAATTCTGGCTATGTAGTTTTTCTCAATGCATGTGAGAGTTTTCTCTCTCCGATTTCCTCAAACAGGCCAAAAATGTGCAGGTCAGGTTAAATAAACAGAAACTAAAAGACGATGGGAAAGTAAATGAAATTTCTGCAGCTTTTGTGGCTAAAATTGGATTTTGGCAGCGCTGAACTTGTAAAAATAAGATTTAATTGTGCATTTTAACAAAAGGAGTTTAATTCAAAATAATCTTGTTTTAGTTGTTTTTCTTGCTACATTTGCTCATTTGTTTATCTTTCCACCTGTCCCAGTCGTCCATCCCGTCTTCTGCTGCTCATTTTGCAGAAGATAACCAATAAACAAATCCAGTTTTGATGGGCTCCACTCAGATCTTCTCAAGCCAAGATTTCATTTCACCAGAGTGTCTTGGGTCTTTCTCAAGGTCTTTTTCATTCCATGGTTTGAAAAATGTCCAGATTGGATGACAAATGAAAGCCTTCTTACCAGATGCCAAAACTAGTTCATTCAACTCCAGAGGTCCAATGGCCGATCTCCTCTCCCTGCTACTGGTTGATCACAGCCGTGAACCAGATCTGAACTTTGCTATTAGGATGGATTATTGAGTAAAGGAAGAAACTTGAAGGTCCACTTTGGTTTGTGATGCCATTTTATTCCACGGATATAGGCTGCTGCTGCTTGTGTGTGTGTGTGTGTGTGTGTGTGTGTGTGTGTGTGTTCATCCCTGAAATATTCCTATCTCAAATCCAGAATGATCAACTCAACCAGAAACTGATATTTTATTCATATCAAAACACATCAAAGAATGCATTGTTGCTACGGTGAAATGAGCAGAAATAATGTCAACAAGGTTCATCTATTTGAATAATTTGACCCCCAAAGAACAAACTTAGTAACCTATGAATAAAAATGAATAACTGATTAAAAGCTTTTTTTTTTTTTACCAAAACTGGACTCCGGAAAGGTCGGTAATCTGCCTTTAAAGGAAGGGCTGGGAAAGGGTTAAATGAGGAAAAACATTTATCGTTATTCAGAGATTAACCCAAAAACCAGACTCTTACTAAAGACAGGCCGCTTCCCAAACATGTTTTATTAGCTACAAATGTGAAGTAAGCATATTTTTATTGCATGTATTCCTGCTACACGAGTAAGAGGAAATTAGTTAGTCTGAATACGCCTTCAGCTATCTTAACGGGGACCGTCCCTTCACTCAGGAGGTCAAAGTCTCTTGGGCTGAAACTGTAATTTTATCAGCTAAATATTAACTCTACCATAAAACATTCAAGAAAGGTTACAGCCTTGGATTTTTAAAGAGCAAGTCACCCCCAAATAGGGCTGCAACAACGAATCGATAAATTCGATGAAAATCGATTACTAAAAGCGTTGACAACGAATTACGTCATCGATTCGTTGTGTTGCACAACTCTTCCACAAGCCCCCTCCCCTCCCGCCCGCCGTTGCGCGCAGACCGGAGAGCCGGCAGGTGTTTGTAAGAGGAACATGGCAGAAGCAGCGAGACCCCAAAAAAGTAAAAACTTCTAAAGTTTGGGAGCATTTTCAGTTAAATCAGGCGACGACATTCGTTACCTGCAACGTTTGTAGGTCAGACTTAGCATGGCACGGGAGTACTACGGTGATGATGCAGCATCTTAAACGCAAGCATGTCAGAATCATCAGCGAGGAAGGAGAGAGCTCGGTGTCCGGGTAAGTTAAAACCTTCTCAAAAGTGATTCGCCCAAGCCCCGGATTATTACACAGGCTAGACATGCCCTAAGCTCGTAAAAAAAAGTCAATAAAATCGTAAGCGCAACGCTATTAGATGGGCGGGGAGGGGGGGGGGGGGGGGGGGGGGACTCGCGCTGCTGCGAACCGGTTCCGCCGTTACATTCCCGCAGAAACTGGTTGATCACACCGGGGCCAGACTACTAGCATGTGGTTTTACAACCACAATGTCCTCAGAAGCGAAAACGCTTTTAAAAGGGGGGGAGGAGTCCTAACTGTTGCTGCACGCGTGTTGTGATGAGAGTGCAGTTATATACTGGTTAATATATTTTTGGGTTCAGTTGCTTTCATGTGGCCTAATGTGAGTCTATTTGGGATCATTGGAATGATCAGCAGCATTTCTTGATGTGACTTTATGGCAGTTGCCCAGGGCATCATCACAAGGAGGATGGCATTCATTTACTTTTATTTTATTTGGTATTTTTTCAGTCATTTTTGGAAATGGTGATCAATTTTGATTAATTCACAGCCTATGTTTAATTACATTTAAAAATTAGTTGTTTGACATCCCCAGTTATAATAAATGTCAACAGATGAGATCAAACAAAACAGATGAGAATTGCCCTTAAAGAGCAAGTCACCCCCAAATAAACATTTTTTTTTGCTGATAAACTAAATAAACGAGTGTCTAATCGTGCTGCAGACACATGTCATCAATAATTTGGCACTCCAGTGCATCTTAGTTAAAATTTAAATATTCTGCCTCAAACTGGCAGTGTTGTGCCGTTGTCAGGTAAAAACTCTGCGCTGTATTTTAATTTAAATCTGCCGCCGCTATTGGCTAAGAAGTCTGCTATGATGTAAACTGGTACATTATGATGTCACAATGCTGTCGTGAGCCTGTGTGTGTATTTGTTAGCGGCTCCACCCTCTCGGTCTGCCAGGCAACAGCATGTGTTGCATTTTTCAAACATGAAGTGGGAGTGGAGTTAGACTCTGGTAGGGGTTGACTTGCTCTTTAAGCTGTTTAACTTGGACCAAGCATTTTAGGTCACGGAAAGGTGTAGCTTAGGGTCTCTGTCTATACACCTTATAAGACAATTTAGGTGATGGCATGTTGTTTTTCTGCTATTGAACTGTTTTCTAATAATGTTGTGTTTAATAAAGTGAAGGCAGGAGAGAAATAACGTTTCCCTAGCAGTTTTTAAAAATGTCCCTATGTAATCCGATTAATCGATTAATCGTGTCGAGACCCCATCTGATTCATCGATTATCCAAATAATCGTTTGTTGCAGCCCTACCCCCAAATCAACTTTTTTTCTGATAAACTATATAAATGCATGTCTAATTGTGCTGCAGACACGTGTAGTCAATAGTTTTGCATTTTAGTGCATTTTAGTTAAAATTTAAATTTTCTGCCTAAAACTGTCAGTTGTCAGGTAAAAACTCTGCACTGCGTTTGAAATTAAATCTGCCATCGCTATTGGCTAAGAGGTACCCTAGAACGTTAGCTGGTACCATATGATGTCACAATGTTGTTGTGAGCCTGTGTGTGTGTGCGTGTTTGTTAGCGGCTCCGCCCTCTCGGTCTGCTAGGCAACAGCATTTGTTGCATTTTTCAAACAGGAAGTGGGAGTGGAGTAATACTCTGGTAGGGGGTGACTTGCTCTTTAAGAAAACAGATGTTTAGATCACAAACAGATGTGGTGGTGTCATCCAGGACGTGATGAACTTTTAGGTTTTAAATGAAAACAATAAAACTAAGAGACCAACTGAGCTGAAGGAGCCTGGCAAACACTCAATAAACAAGAGAAGCCAAGTTGTTTTCATTTAAAACTCATGATGTGCAGTTTATGGACCAAAGACTTAATATATTTTTGCATATTTTCTTACTTTAGTTGCAAACTTTTTCTGTTGAAATCGTGCTTGTTTAATAATTATTCTGTTTAGTGACGTTGTTTTCCACAGACGTCCTCAGGCGACATAACTTTGGTCTGATGTCTAATCATTTGCAAGTTAAATAAAAGTGTTGCACTTTTACCACACTATAACTGTTAGTATAGACAGTGCTTCCAATGGAAGATGCACCTTTAGG